GACTGGACTATGGGACATAAAGTGATACTCGTGAGGAGTGTGCCTCTTAGCTCAAGTAGATACAAGAGACTAAACAGGCAGCTTCCGTCTGGAGGTAAGATGGGAAGGCAGAGAGGGTTAGGAGCTGGTTGAATGGACATTGGGATCCAGGGGTGAAAAGGAGGAGTGAGCTGTCACAGTATGGGGAGAGCAATTAGGGTCACATAACAATGTACATATAAATTTTTGTATAGGAGACTAACTTGAAATGTAAACTTCATTTAAACTACAACAATAAACAAAAAATAAAAATAAAAAGAGATCTCTCAACTGAAAATTTTCTCAGCACCGAGATCTTAAAAACAAACAAACCAGTTGCTGTCCAGTCAACTCTGACTCATGGCGAACCCATGTGTGTCAGAGTAGGACTGTGCTCCATAGGGTTTTTAGTGGTTAATTTTTTAAAAGTAGATCACCAGGCCTTTCTTCCAAAGAGCCTCTGGGTAGACTCAAACCTCCAACCTTTCGGTCAGCAGCCAAGCTTAACCGTTTGCACCACCCTGGGATGCAACTTAGATCTTAGGAGTGACGAATCATAAGAAAGGAACAAGGAATTTGGAGATTTTAACACTAACACCCTAACTATCTCAGCAGCTGGTGAGCATCCAGTCCATTCTTTGAAAACAACTCCGATATTTCAAGGTGATGGTCACTGATATTTAGAATCATGACTCCAAGGCACTCCACTTCCTACATTAAATAAAGGCTCAATTATGTTAACCAGGCTGTACTTTGAAGCAAGGAAGTAGACGAATGTATTTTAGAAAGATTATTACGAATAAAGTTCAAAACAAAAAAGAAATTTCTGCCTAATCCTTGGTTATCCAGAAATTTTAATTAACTATACCACTTCCTCCATGACTCGTCTGTCAGTTTGTCGTATTGTGGTGGCTTGCGTGTTGCTATGATGCTGGAAGCAATGCCACTGGTGTTTCAAATACCAGCAGGGTCACCCATGACGGACAGGTTTCAGTGGAGCTTCCAGACTAAGACTGACTAGGAGGAAAGGTCTGGCAATCTACTTCTGAAAATTAACCAATAAAAACCCTAGGGATTACAACAGAACATTGTTTGACTCACTTGCTCTGGACACATCATCAGAAGAGATCAATTGCTAGAGGAGGACATCACGTTTGGTGAAGTGGAGGGCCAACAAGGGCGAGGGAGTCCTTCGGTGAGATGGATTGGCAAAAATAGCCGCAATGATGGACACACACATACTGGCGATTGAGGATGATGCTGGACTGGGCACCATTTTGTTCTTTTGTACGTAAGATTGCCACGTGCCGCCGTTGACTCCACAGGAGCTAACAACAACAACGTTTAACACGTCCTGCCTCCTTCCTCCATCACAGGTTCTTTGGTTAACCAGGGTACGCAAGTCACATGAAAGCCTTGAACTAGACCTCACCATCAGCAGAAAGTCCCAGCCC